CCGCAACCTCTGAAGTTAATTGGTTAACTGGTTAATTGTTCTCACTGTTTGGAAATTTCTCCTTAGTTCTCTCCTTCATTAGTTTCCATCCGTTGCTTCTTAGAATAGAATAGAGCTGGAAGGGACCTTGGAGGTCTTCTAGTGCAGCCCCCTACTCAAGCAGGAGAACCTATACCATTTTAGATAAGTGATTGTCCAGCCTTAGAAATCTACAGTGATGGTGCACCTATGATTTCTGGAGGCAGGCTGTTCCACTGGTTAATTGTCCTCACTGTCAGGAAATTCCTCCTTAGTTCCAGGTTGCTTCTCTCCTTGATTAGTTTCCATCCGTTGCTTCTTGTCCTGCCTTCAGGCACTCTGGAGAATAGCTTGACTCCGTCTTCTTTAGGGCAGCCCCTGAGATATTGGAACACTGCTATCATGTCACCCCTGGCCCTTCTTTTCACTAGGCTAGAAATCATTTTATAAGATGGTGGAGGTTCATTCTCTGAACTTGTGGATTGGTTTCTGAAAGTTTCATTACCAGGCTAGGTAACATCTTCGGCAGAGATTAGGGGATATCAGTGTTCTTCTGTTTATAAGGGCTTCAGATGTGGGTGTGTCAAGTGAGGGTCTTCTGATGGCTCCAGTGTGAGTCATCAGTGAGAGGCTTGTGATGGGTCTTGTGATAGGGAGGTTAGATCAGGTCAGGGTTATTAGAAGGTGAACTGCCGGTGAGATGGGGAGTGGGGGATTGCGCGGGATGGTTGAGGGTCAGTGTTGTCTCTGGTTGGCTATGTGGTTGATTTGGATCATAGGCTGGTTGTAGGTCGCTGTGTCTGTGGGATGGAATTGCTTGTGGAGAGCCAAGCTTTGATGAGCTCGCGAGGATGGTGGGTGGTGAGTGGTGTCCGATGATTACATCAAGATCCTTCTGTATCTTGAAAGAAACACTGTCATCTACAAAATCAACTGTAACCATTGCAACCAATTCTACGTGGAACAAATCTCACATCAGTTAAAAAACAGGATTCACGAACGCCGGATGGCAGTGAAGTGCCACGATCCCAAATTCTTTAATCTCTACTCATGCCGACACTAAATGACACCAGATCAATTGGAGCAACACAAAAACCATCAGCCATGCCACCACCTACCACCCTCACCAGTTCAGCAAAGCCTGGCCCTCCACAAACAATTCCTTCCACCGAGACTGTTACGTATTGAATAAATATAAAGTTATGTTAATCCCTGCTAAAGCGAAACTAACTTAACTACAATTGCTTGTGAAGCTAAAATGAAACTAATCTTTAGATGACCCTGTTCACTCCAACTGTTTTGGAGGGAAACTTTGAACATTCATATTTGGGCGGGTTTTTCAAGTATTGTGATTGGTTAAGGCCCTGTGGCTCAGAGTATAAATTACAGGCAATTGCCTGCAGTTCTCCAGTTCTAGTAACTATGCTGGTCTGCTCCTTGCCTACTGAAGCCCACTGCACAATAGAGACATTGACCTATATCCAGCCTACGAACCCCTCAGAATCCAAATCAACCATACAGCCTATCAGAGATGGCACCAACCCTCAACCAACTAATGGAGGCATGCTAGAGACAACAGACAAACAGGATAAAATCAATTACATTTGCTTGACAGGATTAAGACCAAGGGAAGCCGATACTTAAGACCCATTGCAAGTCTTTGCGAAACAAGTAAAACCAATCAAATACAAGAAAAAGCACATGAAGCAAGGCTCAAAATTTAAAAAAAATACTGTAAACTTTATATAAATCCTTGCATTCACCAAGCTATTTGTCAGCCACCCCAGAAACTTGCTTGCTGCCATTTTAATTTCTGGCTACCAAATAAACAGAGACTTTCTTTCCTGCAAGTCCCATTTTGTTTTCAGCATCTTTCTTCCGGCTTGGAACTGAACCTGATTTTTCTTCCCACAGTATGCTGGGACTTTCAAATCATTGGAGTCAACCACTTAGCTACTGAATGGGACTTGTGTGATCCAGAACTTCTCCTTCTTTTGCTACACAGCATCTGGCTTTCCTTAGGCCACGAGTATCCTTTGAATCTATCTTAGAGTACCTGGAGTTAGAAATGGGCCTACTCCAGGATCAGGTGACAGGCTACTTAATAATAATAATAATAGTAGTAAAGTTGGAAGGGACCTGGGAGGTCATCTAGTCCAACCCCCTGCTCTGGCAGGAAACCCTACACCATTTTGGACAAATGGCCATCCAGTCTCTTCTTAAAAACTTCCAGTGTTGGAGCATTTACTGCTTCTGGAGGCAGGCTGTTCCACTGATTAATTGTTCTCACTGTCAGGAAGTTTCTCCTTAGTTCTAGGTTGCTTCTCTCCTTGATTAGTTTCCACCCGTTGCTTCTTGTCCTGCCTTCAGGTGCTTTGGAAAATAGCTTGCTTCCCTCTTCTTTATGGCAGCCCCTGAGATATTGGAATACTGCTATCATGTCCCCCCTTGTCCTTCTCTTCGTTAAACTAGACATACCCAATTCTAGCAACCGTTCCTTATATGTTTTAGCCTCCAGTCCCCTAATCATCTTTGTTGCTCTTCTCTGTACTCTTTCTAAAGTCTCAACATCTTTTTTACATCGTGGTGACCAAAACTGGATGCCGTATTCCAAGTGTGGCCTTACCAAGGCCTTGTAAAGTGGTATTAATACTTCACGTGATCTTGATTCTATCCCTCTGTTAATGCAGCACTGTGTTGGCCTTTTTGGCAGCTGCAGCACACTTCTGGCTCATATTTAGGCGATTGTCTACTAGGACTCCAAGTTAATGTAAGGGGGATCCTGGTATGTACATATCAATTGTTGGAGGAAGAATTATAGGTAGGGTGAGCACACTCATAGACACCTTTCTTATAACACACGAGAGATAGGCAATTGCAGGTAGCTGGATGACATGACTTTGTATGATAGGCTGAGTTCACACAGGTAAAGCTGGTTTAATTTTAAATGTGATTGCTTTTCATGTGGTTTTGTGCATCATGGGGATGGGGGCAATGGGCCTTTAGGACTTTGATGGTGTGAATTTTTAAAGTTGCTATCGTGCTGCTCAGAGTCACTTGTGCGTGAGTTGGGTGGCCACATATCTTTGTTTAATTTAACAAAACAAAGCAAAAATGAATTGTCCCAAAGGTGCTTTTTCAGGAGGCAATTGGATTTCTTTGTTTTTCTTTGAAGATGTTTCACTTCTTATCCAAGAAGCTTCTTCGGGTTCTGAGACTGGATGGTGGGAAATGGAAGGATTTATACTCCTTGCAGATAGCCGGTCATTTGCATTTTTAGAAAGTCGTTGAGGCCACATGGAGGCTTGTTTGTGTCCTCAGTTGTCCCAAAGTGCTTTTTCACGAGGCAACTGGACTGTTTTTCTTTGAAGACATTTCACTTCTCATCCAAAGAAGCTTCTTCAGGTTCTGGGACTGTATGGTGGGGAAGGGAAGGATTTATACTCCTTGCAGACAGCCAGTCCTTTGCCTTCTTTTAGAGAGTCATTGAGGCCACCTGGAGGTTTACCTGTGTCCCCAGGGTCACCTGAGTGGTGCAAATGGGCTTGGAGCCTTCATGGAACTGCTGAAAGAATTGTGTTGCTGTTCAATTTGCATCACAATACAGTGAACTATGTGCAGATCTAAACATTGGGGAAACAAAACAACAACTTCATAAACGCATGGCACAACATAGGAGAACAAACCCATCAGGACAAGATTCAGCAGCCCCTCTGCATTTAAAAGACAAAAGCCACAATATATAGCAAAGTCCACAATCTGGACAGAGAGGAATTCTGGTTTGAAAGAGGGTTCAAAGAGACCATCTAGGTCAAAATTGAACAGAGGGGGTGGGACATGACATCGTCTATCTCCAGCCTGAATTGTGAGAATATGCTTCTAACTAGCTTTTCCTTCAATAGCTTGTTTCCCAAAGTCACGTTTAAGTAGGATCGCCCAAGCCCCATTTTTTTCCTCCTTTCACATCTATAGAGACTTCTCAACATGTGAAATGCTGAGAGAAATGAGCTGGCTGTTATGTCCTTGTTATGTACTTGTGCTGGTACAGAGTAAGATATTGTTGTTTCATCCAGGGGGGAGGGGTGTTATGTCCTGAGCCTGCTGAAGCATTCAGCAGGCTCAGAAATGTTGCAAAGGGTCCCGGGCAGACCAAAAGCTGCCTGGGACCAGACTGGCTGTCTCCAGCCTTGTGTGCATCAGAAGGTCCCAGTGGGCCAAGAGGACTATGTGAGGTTTCTGTCAAGTCAAGGGAACTTTACTAGTCCTTTAACAAAATGCAGAGCAAACACTCAGTAAAGGGGTGTCCTATCCAGCATATTATTTGTTGTATTTTTTTTTCTGTAAATAATTATAAAGGTAAGGGTGCCCTGCCTGTGTGCAGGCATATTGTGCTTCACAATAACATCCAGTCCATTGAACGTATGTACTTGTGCTGCTACAGAGTAAGGTATTGTTGTTTCATCCAGAGGGGAGGGGTGTTATGTCCCGAGCCTGCTGAAGTATTCAGCAGGCTCAGAAATGTTGCAAAGGGTCTCGGGCAGACCAAAATCTGCCTGGGACCAGATTGGCTGTCTCCAGCCTTGTGCGCATGCGCAAGGCAGGAAACAGCCTCTGCAATCATTGGTTGATGTTGTCCGGGGATAGGACACTATAAAAGGCCTACGCACCATTTTGTAGTTTACGCTGGTTGTAAGAAGAGAACAATAAAAGGAAGCTTGCTTACACAATGTGTCTCCGCTTAATGCCTCAACCCTGTGAACATAAAACTGGCCTAGAGCTTTTAAATTTGGGGATGACAGAGAAAGACCAGCTGCTGAACATTGCCAATTTAGAGATGATATTTATTCCCCAGAGTAAGCAGCACACTTCCCTTACTGGATACTGTCACTTATGCAGTAACTCAAACTTTAGAAACGGGTCCCAATTTACAAGGAGGAAATGAGACTTCCTCTTTTGCTCCCCCCCCCCCCACGAGGGGAAAGACCTAGTGGGCAAGATGCAAATTCACCCCAGATGTTTCTCCTACTGCTATCGATATGGCAGCCTTGAGGTCCTTCAAGAGAATCCCTGGTCCTCTTCAGCTGCTGCTGATGATGATCCTTCTCCCACGAGATCTGGGTGAGTGTTGACAACTGAGATCAGGCAGGCTCCATTCTCAGATTTACAACCGGAATAAAATCTAGTGCAAGATGAATATTAAGGCTGCTTCAAAGCTACTGTGCTGTTCTGAACAGGGAGACGAGCCGATTTCCCAGCAAAAGCCAGTTCCAGATGTTAGATTTGGGGAGATTTCTTTCATTGTCTATAGAGATTCTCAGTCATCCAGGTCATAGTTATCCAACAGGTGCTTTTTCAGGAGGCATCTGAACCCTTGTTTTTCTTTGAAGACATTTCGCTTCTTATTCCAGAAGCTTCTTCAGCTCTGACTGGATGGTGGAGGATGGAAGGATTTATACTGTTTGTAGACAGCTGGTCATTTGCCTTCTTTGAGAGAGTCCTTGAGGCCACCTGGAGGTTTATCTGTGTCCTCAGGGTCACCTGAGTTGTGAAAATGGGCATGGAGCCTTCTTGGAACTGCTGAAAGGACAGTGTGGTAGATTGTTTCTCGTCCTTCCCTCTGGTGCTCTGGTGAACAATGTGACCCCCTCTGCCTTGTGGCAGCCCCTCAGATACTGGAACGCTGCTATCATGTCCCCCCTGTTTCTTCTTTTCTTTAGACCAACCAAACCCAAGTCCCGCAGCCGATCTCCGTATGTTTTAGTCTCCAGGCCTTGGATCATCTTAGTTGCTCTTCTCTGAATTTTTTCCAAAGTCTCCACATCTTTTTTGTAGTAGGGTGACCAAAATTGGTTGCAGTATTTTTTGGAGTATTTTTGCAGTATTTTGGGGTCAGCAAACTGGCTTCCCCACCCAAGGAAAAAAGGGAACAAAAAAGAGAACATCAGAAATGAAACTTCATGAAATCTTTGGTGGCTCAAGGCAGAAAGTGTGAGACACTGACTAACTAGAAACCGATTCAGCAATTCACAGCAGGCAGAAACTAGGTTGCTTTTAGGGGTTTATGTCATGATTTCGACAGATGAATCTCTTCCAAAGAACTTTGAGGCATTGTTTACCTTAAAGAATCTTTTATTTTCGAGAAACAAAGTATCGGCACTACATAGTTAAAGCCAAAAACTGAATTCCCCTCCCCTGGGCACAAAGTTGTTGTTGTTGTTGTTGTTGTTAATTGCGAAGTCATGTCCGACCCATCGTGACCCCATGGACATTGTTCCTCCAGGTCTTCCTGTCTTCTAACATCTTCTGGAGTCCATTTAAGTTCATGCCTACTGCTTCAGTGACTCCATCCAGCCACCTCATTCTCTGTCGTCCCCTTCTTCTCTTGCCCTCAATCTTTCCCAGGGATACAAAGTAACAAAGTGCAATTCCTTCCTCCAATTAACAGTCATAAATCACATTTCCCAATTAGCTTGAAGGGGGCTTTCTCCCCAGCTCTCCAGCCCTCCAAAACTCTATCAGCTCTGGGCCCAATGTCCTTGGGTTCCCACGGCTGAGTTATTATTGTTATGACTAGCTGGACTCTCATCCACATTCCCCCTCCCAGCATCAACGAAGACTCAAAGCAGTAGAGAAAAATGGCTGCATTTCATTTATTTATTTATTTATTTATTTATTTATTTATTTATTTTTAACCAACAAAACAAAACAAAGCAAAACATAACACACATACACACACATATACTCCTCTCCCTTTTTTAAACAGCGATTACGTAACAGTAATCTTCTATTATTTACATTTCCCCCCTTATTTTTCTTTAGAATATTTGTCCTTATTGCCCCGTTGTTTCTTATTTACATTTTTCTTCCTTCATATTCTACTTCTTACTAAGAATAATTCATATTATTATTATTATACATTATTATACACATATTTTCACTTTTGACCTTTCCATATTTAACCTCCTCTATTATTTCTAGTCTCCCACCAGTCATACCACTTGTTCCATGTTACATAATACTCTGTGTCTTCCTTTTCTTTTATCTCTTTTGTTAATTTGTCCATCTCAGCACAGTCCAGGAAAAATGGCTGCATTTCCATCTGTTGTGAAAGCAAGAACATCCGATGTTAACAGCATTGACAGACTTGCTCCTCTCTTTTGAGAGAGAACTTTTTTTTTTTCAAAAGATCACCACAACCTTTTGAACAGCCCAGATGAAGCACTGGTCCCTACAAAAGAGAATATTTGTACTTCAGGGTTGAACAGTGGAGTACATGGTGGTCTCTGAACTTGGTTTTTTTCTTGCAGATGTTTTATTACCCAAGTAGGTTACATCATCAGTGCTAGAAGGAAGTGAGGTTTATGGAGAGGAGGAGGAGGAGGAGGAGGAGGAGGAGGAGGAGGAGGAGGAGGAGGAGGAAGAGAACTGTGAGGTCCTTGCTGCTCTCTGAGCTTGGTGGGTTTTTTTGCAGATGTTTCATGACCCAACTAGGTAACATCATCAGTGCAAGAAGGGAGTGGGGTTTGTGGAGTGGAGGAGGAGGAGGAGGAGGAGGAGGAGGAGGAGGAGGAGGAGGAGGAGGAGGAGGAGGACTGTAGGGTCCTTGGTGGTCACTGAGCTTGGTGTTCTTGCAGACATTTCATTACCCAACTAGGTAACATGATCAGAGATAGAAGGGAGTGGGTTTGTTTTTTGTTTTATATACAAGTGGTGCCAAGGTTACACTGTTGTTTACTGTTAATTTCTTCTTCCTGGATTGGGATATTGGTGTAAGAAACTGTAGATGTAGAAACAGCATCATCAATGGTCCTCTGCCTCCAGAAGAGTGGTGGCCATTTTCTAGAGGGAACCTAGTCACAAAAGTGTCTCTTTTTGTTTCAGTTGTTACAGGACAGAACTTGGAGGTAACACAACTTCCGGAAACTGTATCGGTGAAAGCTGGACACAACCTCACTCTACAATGTACATTGACTGAGACAAATTTACCCGGAGGCGTGCGGTGGTACAAAGGGCTGGACAGAAACCAGCCCCCCGTTTACAGCGATAAGCAAGGAGCTTCCAACCGGGGGAAGAGGCTGGTCGCAGGATCCAACACAGACTTTAGCCTCAACATCCTAAACATTGGTCCTGAAGATGCCGGGACCTACTATTGTGTGAAGTTCAGGGCAGGGATCCCAGAGAGAGAACTGGCTTCAGGGAAAGGCACTCAGGTCATCATAATTGGTAGGTGGCCCACCCATTTGCTTTTTGGGGATGGGGGGAGATGTTCCCAGTCAACCGAGAGACATGTGGGAGTAAATCTCATGTTCTGAAGTTGAGTCTCTCCAACCAAACACAGCCTTGTAGCTTCCTGTATTATATCTGAGGAATGTCAACTGATCCCAGCCTATGGTTAGTGGCCCTATAACAAGAGTTGCGGCAGGGTCTCAGGACGCCTTCAACTGCTCCATAGAGGGATTCTCCCCCTGAGAGATCACAGTCAGCTGGTTGAAGGATGGGAAAAAAATACAGACTGCCCAGACCAACATTCTCAATTCAGATGGAATTCATACCGAGCAGAGAGCACGGTGGAAATCCCGCTTGAGCAAGGAGATGTAAGGTCTCAGCTGACCTGCCAGATCCAATAGAAGAGAATAGAATGGAATGGAATGGAATGGAATGAAATGGAATAGAGAATAGAGAATAGAATGGAATGGAATGGAATGGAATGGAATAGAATAGAATAGAATAGAATAGAATAGAATAGAATAGAATAGAATAGAATAGAATAGAATAGAATAGAATAGAATAGGAGCTGGAAGGAACCTTGGAGGTCTTCTAGTCCAGCCCCCTGCTCAAGCAGGAAGCATACCTGCTTCAAACAGGAAAGCGGTGCCGAGAGTGGTGAGGACAGCAGAAAAGATCATTGGCAGTTCCTTCCCTCCCATCCAGGACATGACACAGAAGCGTTGCTTGAGCAGGGTCAGCAAGATTGTCTGGGACACCACACACCCTCTCCACGACCTGTTTTCTTTGTTACCTTCTGGGAGGGGGGGCTCCATGGACCCAAAGCAGAACATCCAGATTCAGTCACAGTTTTGTTCCATACAGCATTAACCTTGTGAACTCTCAAGCTTCCTCCTTCCATTATGTATTCAAGATGGACAGTGTTTAGTATTTATTTGTTATGTAGGGGTGTGGGTCTATACGTATGTTGTATATCATATGTTTAGGTGTGTGTCATGTATGTGTTTCACTAAATTTCATTTTTGATGTGTGTCGTTGTGCTCGCAGTAAAAAAAATGAAATAAAGGTTATCTTATCTTATCTAACTCTTGCTCCGTGGTGAGTTATCCTGTGGCAAGTTGGCTGTGACAAGTTGTCCTAGACCCTGATGGAGCAGGCGTTATTAAATCAAAATAATCCGCTGTCTTTTCTCCGCAGTTGCGCAGCAACAATCCCTCCTTGTTCTCTGGCTCCTGCTTTTCCTGAACAAAGCAGCCGTCCTTCTCCTCTCCTGCCTTTTCCTAACGCAGATGTGCAGATGTGCAGAGGCAAAATCTCATTCCAGAAAACCCCAGGAAGTAAAAGGGTTTGAAAGTCCAATTAGGAACGCCTGTTCCTGACAGCTTTTCCGGCTGAGAAAGAAAAACAAACCGAGAAAACGGAAATAAATAAATATATATATATATATTGACGTGCATTGAAATGATTAAGAAAGAAATAAAAATGAAAAGTCTTTGTTTACAGAAGTTACAAAGGAGCAAAGATTAAGATCATATAATTTGGGGGTGCAGGTCTGCTTTGGAAAGATGAGGAGACAATGTCTGTAATCAATGCTTGTGTCTATACAGGTAATCCTTGAGGTACGACTCTAATAGGGCTTATCCGTTGAGGGTCGTGAGTCAAAAATATGTAAAATGAATTGGACTCATTGTTACATTTTTTACCATGTTTGTTATGCAGATCAAGCAAGAAAATGGAATGGAGTGGAGTGGAGTGGAGTGGAGTGGAGTGGAATGGAATGGAATGGAATGGAATGGAATAGAGTAGAGTAGAGTAGAGTAGAGTAGAGTAGAGTAGAGTAGAATAGAATAGAATAGAATAGAATAGAATAGAATAGAATAGAATAGAATAGAATAGAATAGAATAGAATAGAATAATGGTGGGATGGGATGAAATAGGATAGGATATAGAATGGAATGGAATGGAATGGAATAGAATAGAATAGAATAGAATAGAATAGAATAGAATAGAATAGAATAGAATAGAATAGAATCATGGAATGGAATAGAATAGAATAGAATAGAATAGAATAGAATAGAATAGAATAGAATAGAATAGAATAGAATAGTTGGAAGGGACCTTGCAGGTCATCTAGTCCAACCCCCTGCTCAGGCAGGAAACCCTACACCATTTCAGACAAATGGCTGTCCAATCTCTTCTTAAAAACTTCCAGTGTTGGAGCATTAACAACTTCTGGAGGCAAGTTGTTCCACTGGTTAATTGTGGTTTTTTTTTTTATTATTATATGAACAATGATCAACTTTGTTGTTTTGTTTTGGTTGGTTAAATCAGGGTTCCCCAACCCCCGGTCCATTGAACGGCACCGATTTGCGGCATGCCAGAAACCAGTCCACAGAAACAAACAAAGCCCCATCTGTGGGATGCAGGCAGCATGCGAAATAACACGGAAAAACCTCTCTCCACGGAACCTGTCCCTGGTGCCCAAAAGGTTGGGGACCACTTGGTTAAATGGTCTCCATCATTGTTACATGAACCAAGAGGCTGGAGCTGCGGTCCTCAACCTTCCCGGCTTTGCGATTCGGTGGGAGGAGGGGAAGAGAAAATGGTTCCTTGGGAGTCACAGGCTTACACGGACAGCTCCAATGGAGCTTCACACACACGTGTGAGTGCCCGCCACTCATGCAAATGGAACCGCAGGAGCGTGCTCGCCTGCCACTTGCGGCTACCCGGTTTTGAACAAGTTGTGGCCCAGTACCAGGCCACGGCTGAGGGATTGGGGACCCCTGGGCTAGACAATTTGCAGGGCTCCAGAATGAAAGGTGCCACCTGGCCATCAGCCGTTCTGGCAATGCCAGGCAGCCCACTGCATCTGCACCACAGTGCCCCCAAGCATAAAATTTGTTATCTACCTATCCAGCCTCTGCCCTGCCTCATTTGTCTCGGTTCCCTGTTGTGTTGACCCTGTCAACTGATTCAGCCACATGGCTATCTGTGGAGAACACCATTGCTGTGATCTTGCAATATGTCGATGACTTACAGGTAGCTGCCCCCACTGTTTCTTTGTTAAATTCCCTTTGTTATTGGGCCTATAACAGTGGTTCTCAACCTTTTTAATGCCGCGACCCCCAACTGGTCGTAAGTCGAGGACTACTCAACTGGTGCAGCACCGTTTGCAGAATGGGACTTTTGGCGGGCTCAGCAGGGCAGAGACAGCCTGGACAATTCCTATTGGCTTTTGAAAGCCAATAGAATGAGACTCTATTCAAGAGAGTCTATTCTATTGGCTTTCAAAAGCCAATAGAATAAAAGGGAGTAGCACAGCTAAGGAAAAGGGGGGGGGAAATGGCAGACTGCGTTGTTTGGCGACCCCCGTGAAATGGTCGTTCGACCCCAAATGGGGTCCCGACCCACAGGTTGAGAACCACTGGCCTATAAGGTTTCCCGTACAAAAGCCCATCTTGTCAAAAGGAGGTTCGATATTTAGGTTATATTCTATCACAAGGGATTAGAAAATTATTCCCGGAAAGGATCCAGGCTGTGTGCCTCCTTAAGCCACCTAGTACTAGGTGCCAGATTTGGGAATGGCAGGTTTCTGTCGTATTTGAATTCCAAATTTCGCTCTAATGGCTAAGCCCTTGTATCAGGCCCCCACAGGTTCAGATAAAGCACCCTTTGAATGGATCAAAGATTGTCAGGTGGCAAAATAATAATAATAATAATAATAATAATAATAATAATAATAATAATAATAATAGTAGTAGTAGTAGTAGTAGTAGTAGTAGTAGTAGTAGTAGTAGTAGTAGTAGTAACAACAACAACAACAACAACCATCATCATAAAATTGGAAGGGACCTTGGAGATCTTCTAGTCCAACCCCCTGCTCAGGCAGTAAACCCTATTCCATTTCAGACAAATGGCTGTCCAGTCTCTTCTTAAAAACTCCCAGTGTTGGAGTATTCACAGCTTCTAGAGGCAGGTTGTTCCACTGGTTAATTGTTCTCACTGTCAGGAAATTCCTCCTTAGTCCCAGGTTGCTTCTCTCCTTGATGAGTTTCCATCCGTTGCTTTTTGTCCTGCCTTCAGATGAATAGTTTGACTTCCTCTGCTTTATGGCAGCCCCTGAGATATTGGAAGACTGCTATCATGTCCCCCCTCGTCCTTCTCTTTATTAAACTAGACATTCCCAATTCCAGTAACCGTTCCTTATATGCTTTAGTCTCCAGTCCGCTGATCATCTTTGTTGCTCTTCTCTGTACTCTTTCTAAAGTCTCAACGTCTTTTTTACATCGTGGTAACTAAAACTGGTTGCAGTATTCCAAGTGTGGCCTTACCAAGGCATTGTAAAGTGGTATTAATACTTCATGTGATCTTGATTCTATCTCTCTGTTAATGCAGCCTAGCACTGTGTTGGCTTTTTTGGCAGCTGCAGCACAAGGCTGGCTCCTATTTAAGTGATTTTCCACTAGGACTCTGAGATTTTCATTGTGTCTCTCTTTTCCCCCCAACTACTTTGCTATGAACAAGTGCTTACTTCCTTTCAGCTTCCTGATTTAAAATTACCCACACTTGATAAGAAATGCTAACCACTAAGACTTCCCCAAATGTCAATTTTACACAAAAATGCCACTGGCTTCCTCTTTTCCCCCACTTCTGGGTAGACCCCCCCCTTCCCCTAGCCATTCCTTTGTCTGTATTTACAAACAAGTTACTTAGTAAAGAGCCAACAAAGGAGCGCTCACCAAATTCTGCTTGAGTTTGCATACAAATCTTTATTCAAAACAACATAGCTCATTTATAATCTCAAAAATTTTCTCAACTCCTTCATTTTAAACAAGGGTTGAATTACAATTCCTTCAATTCTCTTAGGTATTATTTTCTATCAGTGTGTCCTGCACACAGACATAAAGACATAAAAATAAATAAAACAATAAAAAAGCAACTCCACAAAATAAACAAATAAACAAGCTTAATAAGATATTCTGACTTACTGAAATAGTTTTGTATCAAACTCTAGTAACCTTTGTTTTTAATATAAATTTAGTTAAATTCCAATTTAATCAGGTTCCATTCAGATGGAAACAAATTTCCATTAAGTAGGTTAAAACATTTACAAATCTAAACAAAACAATTCAGAGTCATTTCTTTGGGTTGATGGATATAGAGGTGTATTCTTCTCATATTTATTTTTTTTTTTAAAAAAAATAACCTTATTTCTTACTGCAAGAATGGGTATTAAATTTCACATCCACCCCATCTTCCTCAAATGAGAATTTTACGCAGAAAAAAAAATAGTTAGAAAGATCAGACCCCCACTTTTCCTTTCTGTCTCTCTCACTCTTAAAGCAACACAGCCAGCCTGGGGGGGGACAGGAAAAGAAGAAGAAACACAAAAATTCCACCACTAACAAAACAGTTTTCTCTTTTTCACATGCATTTCCATGAATTCTCTCACACATCCTCCATGGGACTCTTCTTATGCAAACACTTGCGATTGCCTTTCCATTTCACCTTTAAGCAACACACACACACACAAATCTGCAATTTTCTGTTTCTTTCACAGTCTGGGGTGGGGGAGAAACTCTCTCTCACAAACACACACAGAGAGAGACACAGGATCAGCATATCCACACATTCACTTCCATTCAAACTGCTTGTATAAACACTGTCACATACAGATATTTCATTTCATACTTTCCCCTGACAAACCAATAACTATTATTATAATTTCAAGGAGCTGTTCACAAGCCAATGGGCTCCCTTTCTTTGTTTCTTTTTCCAGCAAATCACTTTGTTTGTTTTGAAATAAGGCCTTTTTATTAATTATTAGACACAACACAGACAGACACACATACACTACCTCCACACTCCTCTAACAAAAATGGACTATATATTGCCTGGGATCCAACAAGCATATAAGCGTCTTTTATTAACCTATATATTTTATTAACATATATGCCACAAAAAAGAGGGAGTCAAGCTATTTTCCAAGGCGCCCGAAGGCAGGACAAGAAGCAATGGATGGAAAGTAATCAAAGAGAGAAGCAACCTAGAACTAAGGAGAAACTTCCTGACAGTTAGAACAAGTAACCAGTGGAACAACCTGCCTCCAGAAGTGCTGAATGTTCCAACACTGGAAGTTTTTAAGAAAAGACTGGACAGCCATTTGTCTGAAATGGTAAAAGGCACAGGTCGGCAACCTGTGGCTCCAGAGCTGCATGCGGCTCTTTGAGCCTTCCCCTGTGGCTCCCAGCTTCCTCTGCCATTTGCAAAGAGAGACAGAGAGGCACTTGCGCTTCCCTGCTTCTCTCTCTGTCTGTCTCTGTGTGTGTTTGTTTGTTTGTGTGTGTGTGTGTAAAAGAGAGGGGACTCACAGTGTTCTCTGACAAGCTGAAAAGCTTTTGGGGCGGGGCTCCTCCCTTTGCTGTATCTTTGCAGGAAGCAG